TCTGGACAGCTTTACTCAATTGAATTTGGGTAACGGCGATGAGGTTCGTATGCACACTGACATAGTCAAAAGGTCTTAAATTTACCATAATATTTTATACCACATTTTCTTGTCAACAGCCTGATAGTAACGGTAATCCGACTACACCCTCTGTCGAGTCGAATGCGACGACGAAACTCTTCCAAGCTTACGAAGAGGAGTTGAAACAAAATTCCAGCACTGGTGGCACAGGCAGTAGCAGCAATAGCTCAACCGATGTCGATAGCTGGGATATATCTATAAATCAATTTATAGCAACAGTTTTGGCAGTCACTTCAATCGTGCAATGTTTCTATATGAAAACACCGATTAAGGAGAATATAGAGCGCATGCAAAAGAACCGTCATAAATGTGTTATCACAAATTACTAAGTAGCTACAACAACAAAAAAAGAGAAAGAAATAGAAAAAATATGTTCCGGTAGCGAACAGACATTAGATGTTTCTAATTGCTTTGCGAGTGTGCGTGCGCGAGAGGTAGAGCAAGTAGCAAGAAATGAGTATTCGTAAAAACAGATTATTTGATTGTTTTCCTAAAAGTACGCAATTCAAATAACTGTACTAAAAAAGTATTGGTATTTCTTTTCTTTTTAAATATCGAATATACATACATATACATATATATACAAAATAAAATGCATGCTTATATAGCAAATACATATGTATGTGTGTACATACATATATAATAATAATTATATACACAGAATTATACAGGAATACCTACATATATATAAAATATACACTGTGACACATTCGGTGTTTGCGTTGTAAATGATTTTTTGCAAAGGCGTTGCCGCACACATCTACATGCTTCCCCAAATTAATCCAACTAAAGTATAATAATTGTTAAAAAAAAAACTTTGTAAATTTGATTTTTCAAAAAGATATGAAGGAAAAACAAACGCTTTGTATGGTCATCCTAATATCGTTAAAAACAAAACAAAAAAAATTAACTTGACATTTATAGTTAATTGTTCGTTGTTTTAACTTCATATACACAAAAAAGAATTTTCGTTAAAAGTTACAATGTTTTATGAAAAGTATTGCAGTCCAAGCAGTTACTGGTTCATATAAAACTTAAAACAATTGCGGTTCTATTCTGAAAATTTCATTTTGATGTTATACGTACACTTACAAACATAGCAAATTTCGGAAATCTAAAATCCTGTATAAAAAAAAACATACATACATATTCGTAAATACATAAATATATTATTAGTTGTAAAAAATATCAATAAATACGCTGGTACATACATATTAGTAAGAAACCATATTTTTATTATAAAACAAGAAAAAAGTTAACCGCATGCATTTCTTACAACGTAAAGGGTATAGAAAGATCCGCTTATTGATTTTGTTTAGATAATTTAAATGGCAGCTATTTGCTATAGTCGCCCTATCTGAACAATATTCCTTGGAAATTGTTACGACGTCAAATTTCGTGAAGATATCTTGTCAAATAAAAAAGTTTCACATACAAAGGATTGCTATAGATCGATTAATTCGTATGACACCATTATGCTATAGTGTTGTCGACGGGTCTGACAAATGAGCAGATTCTTTGTGCGAAAAGGGTGTGTGCAAAATTTCCGGTTGATATCTCAAATACTGAGAGTTTAGGTCGCATATATCCAAACAGACGCACTTGTTTCAATCGACTCAGTTCGTCGCGCTTTTCATTTATATTTTTATATACTTAATAAGGTCTCCTGTTTGTGTGTCATAAATTTTATAGCAAGCCTAATATACACTGTTCAAGATATAATGAATTGAAGTGTTTACAAACTCGGAGAGGTAAGAAAGCAAGAAAGCTCTGCCGTTCAAATTCCTTATTAGTCAAAGTTATACTAATTTGCAATATGTTGTGTATAACCTCTCATAGCAACGATAACTCCTTTAAGTTTAAGTTTAAGATGGAGATGTTCACTTAATCTACCTACTGGCTAAGTAGAAGTTAGTGGACGGTTAAGGCTTTCTTTATAATTTTCAGAACGAAATCATTAAAGGGTAAAAAATTTTAATATACATATGTCTATTAAGAGTCCTTAACCTCAACTCGAATACAGAGTTCCCACGACAGTCGTGTCCGGTAAAGATCCAAATAACGTGATGTGAGGAATATTTTCTGCCGCTACAACGGCAACACGTTGTCATATAAAGTAAAAGGCGACAAGAGGGAATATGAAGCGATTTTGCTAATTTTTGGTACCAACTTTTATATGGTAAACTAAAAGTTTTCATATAATTATCTTCAGATTTCTCTTAGACAGCAACAACATTACCTGTGTAAAATAGAGAGCTGAGCGGTTTCGTAAATTTTTTGACAAAAAATACCCTAATCAAGGGGTAACATCTAAACATAACACTACGTTAATTCTTTAGTTCTACATTACGAGACCATAAAAGCTGTAGCGTTTCCTTATATAGGCGCTATTGTTATTCGATATCCATTTACGTACGACGTACGTGGCTGAAGGAAACCAGTTGGTTCCGTGTATTGGAACAGGAGACGGATTGGTCATACATTGCAGAACATATATTCACTCTCACTTTCGCGTCCACATATGTTGGATTTTAGTTTATTTACTTGGTTACCCGAGTCTCGTATGAAAATTCAATCTTTTGAATAAGCAAGTTAAAAATATGGATTAACACCTCTTAAGTAACGTATGTATATAGCATCAATGTGCAGCTCTATACCTGAAGTTTTAGAAATTTAGAAACTGTTTCTCTAACAATCCTTTAGTGATGGTGGTCGTCAGCACTGATAGTTCGTGATCGAACTTTTTAATAATGCGTGTCCCGAAGGTTCGTTAATATTTTCCAAATTCGTAGATTCATTAAACATATCGCCAGCTATCGGGATGGCAATCCGGGAGCAGTTAAAGATCTGGCTCTGTTCCGATTACATTAATCTGACTGTCGTGAAAACTACTCCTACGTAAGCTCGGCTGTTAGGGTAATCGAAGAACTCAAATATCTTCACTACTGGAGAGTAAGAAATATATAGAACGATAAAAGGATCACTGGTCGCTATTGAATGCTGCTAGTGGACTTGGCCGTTATAAATTAGAAATAAGTACAAATACATAATTTGATGATTAGCATATAATACTTTAATCCCGTCTTCCGTTCTACTCTTCATTAGTTGGCATATGTACATCATATTATAAGTAAGTCAAGTTCAACCTAACCAAACTTAACCTTTTGCACGAAATGTCCGAACTTAGTAAATATCAACGTTTTAGAAAAAATTAAACAAAAGCAGAAACAAGAAAAATCTTTGGTTGCACCGAAGCTATAATACCCTTCACAAATAAAAAGTTTGCTCGTGCAAAACCGTAATTTAGATCATTCAGTATGTACTTCAGCGATACGATATATTTGTCTAATATCGGCTATTCCGACAAACGAGCAGCTTCAAATAACATCAATTATCATTTTGAGTTGGCATCCAATATCAATGTCTGATACATACAAACATGCGCGCTCACTAGAAAAAAACTCGAATTAATTGCTTCATATACTGATTATTATGTATTTACAGTTACACACTAGTGTTACTCATCTCTAGATAATATTAAATAATATATAGTTATATAATATATTTGTACAATCATTAACTTTAGTTTTTTAAATTAAATTTCGTGCTTTCTTCTTAACTTCTATTTAAACATAAAGTCCATAAATCTTAAGTTTATAAAATATTTGAAAATAATTTATCATAAACATACATACATGTACATATATAGTACTTATATAGAACACCGAAGCGTATGACTCGTATGGTCCGCGATTAATAGGCATTCAAGTCAAGTAAAGACAAGGCAATTGAAACTTCTCTAGTGAATATTGCTTAAGGATATCAAATTTGATTTGAATTTTGATGCAATTACTTCTATTTTTAGCATTTATTTTGGTTTTTCATTTTTCTTAAATATTGTGATGCATAAGTTTGTACGCAGTTCAAAAAAAACAAACTACAAGCATTTTCTGTCTGTGTTATACAAAATTGTTGGATGAAATGCAAATACTATTTGCAACTACAGCGTAGAAATAAAACGTAATTTGTATTCGCCGCTAAGCAAAACAACAAAATTAATGCACTCGAACTCAGGATGCAAGCATTGCTATTTTTCAAGCTCTCTGGTCACCACAAATGTATCTGATATTAGATTTAGCAAAAAAAAAAAAAAAAGTAGACACGCAGATCCATACATATGTAAATAGGATTGTAGCTCTTAAAGGCGTGAACTCCTTAAGCATAATGCAAATGTAGTCAATATATGCAAGTTTAGCTGACAAAATTACAAATTCTTCGAAAGAAAATCCGTATTGTATTTTAATGCATCTAAATACATAGACATATATACATATGTATGTCCAAAATATGTGTCTACCCAAAATAACCGCGTTATGTTTAACGTATAGACTTTCTCGTTCATTTCTTTTGAGCTTTAAGTTTGTTTTTATAAATATATTCATATATGAATTCACAATTCTTATGCGTTTTGATGCTCACATGATACATTTGATTAGATTTTATTACTGATTGTAATACATTGACGGTTTTATCTCAAATTATAAGTACTTTTAAATGCTGTTATATTTCTACTACAAGCATTTTATATGAGAAATGCAGAATATCAAATTCGGCAAAATATTAACAAAAATCCATACAACAATAACAACTGAGGAATGTGTCTTATGTAGACTTAACTGACATTAAATGAAAAAATAAACTATAATTTATAGTAATCCATATGCCTCACACTTCCTTAATTTATGTTTCGACTTTATTTATCTGCTCGTTTCTTATATGCCTTAATATTAAAGTAACGGCGCTGCAATATTTCTTTCACTTTCCAATTGGTTCTGGCTCATACGGTTTGGATTACAATAATAAATGTATGCTTAAGACAATTCTGTCTAAAACTAAAACTATATTACATTATTTACAATAACGCTTTTGACTAAATATAAAAAATAATAATGAGATATTAATACCAACGATATAATATTAATTTATTTGTTATGTAAACAATACATACTATGAAGTAGTACTTTTCTTAATAAATATAAATATTTGTAGGTTATTAAAACCAAACGCAGTACGCAAATTCACTCTCACTCCAAGAAAAAAAACCAAAAACTTATATAATTCAACATATTTACAATTTTTCTTCCTTTTTTCGATTTTTTAATTTGTCAATTTCGCGATGGACTTTTATGCAGCAGAATCCGATTCTGTTTTCATGGCACTAGACTTTAGTTCACGTTCTCTAAAGAAACCACGTTCTGTTTTGCATTCTCTTATGGTGACAGTCTCTAAATTTACGGTAACATCTGTGATCACCACTTTATCGGAGATATTACACTTATTTGGCAACCAGAAACGTGGTGGCAATGCCTTCGGCGAAAGGGGCGCCAAAGCACTTTGTCGCTGCTGTTGTTCAGTAACATGTCCGTTACGCTTGGGTGAGGCAGCGCCATCATCCCCCGTTCCCTTGTTATGTGCTACCGCATGATTGTTATCCATTTGACTATCTGCTTGTGATGATGAATCATCATCATCTGCATTCGACGCTGCTGTGGCATTGTAATGCTGATGCAATGCTGCGTTCTTTTCTGCGGGTGTTGCTTGTTCTGGGCGTGATGCTGGTGTTTCTGGTGATAGCGGTTCAGTTTCAGACTTAAGCGGCGTCGATATTGAAGTAGCTGCGTCTAAACTGGTACTACCACAATGTTGTTTAGGTGGCGGTGGTCCATCCGGTGAGGTTTTTATAGTGACACCTATTTTACCGGATTCCTTTAGTACCTCAGCTTTACGTTTAGTACCCATAGAAGTGACCTCTTTACGACTTAAAGGTTGATCTTCAGAACTGGATGAATTAGAATCAGCCTCAGGAATGAAATTTAAAGCGGAATTCGAAGCAACAGCTGCTGCAACAACAGCAGCCGACACTGATGCTGACGTCGAGGTATAGGTGTGGCGCTTATTACCACTGTTAGTATCACGCTGCCCATCTGTATATGGCGAATGCGAGCGATGATGATGGTGATGGGAATGCTCACGTTTCTTATCTTTATCCTTTTCTTTGTCATGGTGGTGGTGGTGGTGATGATGGTGATTGTTATTGGATAATGCAGCGGATGAAGTAGATGCTTGATTTATATCTACATCATCGCCAGTGAAAGTATACTCATCTTCCTCGGATTCTGGTTCAGGATCATGCGTTTTTTCCTTACGCTTTCCTCCTCGTTTTGATGGTGTGTTAGACGAACGGTTACTTTGTTCGTATATTTCAATAAGCCGACGATCAAGTATATTAACCTCTGGTTCCCAAGTATTATATCGCTGATTCCAACCTTTCCATTTTACGCGGTATTCCAAAACACCCTATTGAGGAGATATTCATAAAGTATTATTGTAGTAATAAATTATTATATACAACAAACAGTTTTCTACTAATCATGTGTTTAGAAAATACGTTAGAGGCATTTGAACTTTAAAATTTTAATGTAAAATTTATAGAATCACATTTTGTATTTTCTTTAAAACACTGTCATTGGCACGTGTATATACTTTATTGGATCTACATGGAATGTGTACAATTGTGTGCAAAATGTTAAAATTAAAAATTAAATAACAATTTTTGAACCTAAATATGTGTACTTTATGATACAAAATTACTATTCCTTTTACCTTCCTAGTGCAAATATTTTCAAGGACTAATACAAAATACTCGTTCGCAGTTCGTGACAGGTGGATCTCATAGATGTTTACCTACATTTTGAAACATGACGTTATGAAATAAAACAAAATTGAAGGAAGAAACATATGACTGGCGAAGGCATTCATCATAATACAATTTCAGCTTATGTATATACATACATTTTAATGGCAGATGTTTCCATGACGGAATACACTAATATATAGCATTAACTATTTTCACTTAACTTGATTATTTCATACCTTTCTAACGCGTTTTTGTATTATCCGCTCCGCCGCGTAAACGCGGTCATCCGAACTTCCCATGTTGTTATCCAGTTTAACGAATTTTAATGCTTCCGCACCGTATTTTTCATAAATAGAAACACCACTTGCAGAAAAGCGCGGCAAAAATGTGTAATGTCGAACAGTAGAATATAAAGATTTTGCGTATTCTTCTAATATATAATTAGAACTACTATTCCAAAATAACACAAGTAATTAATAATTGATTCAGTCGTTAACAAAATAAATAACCAAGCAAAACAAATGTGCGCAATTGTATCTTGCAAATATTTTGCTAAAACTAACTGTTAAAACCACTGAAATATCTACTGTTGTAGGAAACATTCAAGCGCCAGCGCTTGAAAACACCGAATAAATAAAAAATGCGAAACGTCCTTCAGCAAATGTATCTGCTGTTTCACTCGGACCAATACATTTGGCTCGTCAATATAGAAAAAGTACGCAAATCGCTACTCGTTCTACCCGATGCGACGACGGAATATGTATATTTCGAAAATACCTTTTATGTACAGATATAAATTGTAATATTGTATTTTAAGCACAGTTTTGTTTTATTCAACTTATTTATTGTTCACAGATATTTATTAATTAACAAGGCCGCAAAAAATGTTCATTACAACATTAAAAACCCGACACAAAATTTCTACATGTTTTCACCACAATAACGCGAAAATAATTGAATTCGTTATTTTGGTTCAACTCGTTACTATGCTGTTAATTGTTGTTTTCATGAAACTCGTTCCTTTAATAATAGCGTTGCCAAGTACCCTTGCTTCAATATTCGCTTTGACAACAAGTTGGAAAATATTTTAAGTTACAATTTTTTTCTTAAAGTCAATTGTTAAAAATAAATCGTAGTAAATTGTTAAAAGTACTCTTGTTTCTATAATTTTAGACCAAACCTACACAATGAACTGTAGGCTTTTCCATCATTGATGCGAAATATTATTTTAACTCTACTAATTTATAATAATTTTATTTTTATTTATGGTGCGTGATACATATATATATATTTATATATTTATTATATAATAAATGTTCTCTGTTGATTTTGATACTGGATAAACTTTTTTCCATGTAGACTTATTACGAGCGGCAGAGTGCTACTTTCACATATACATACATTAATATACACTGCAATAACGGTAAATGTAGAAAGGGTGGTAGCGTAACGCACTTCGTGTCCTATCGTCCTACGAGCTTTTATGGTTTTCTCTCTGTTTTTCCGTAAATACTCTGTTTCATATGAAACGTCATTACTAACGGGCTTTATATCAAAATGTTTTCGTACAATATGCCAGTACACTTTTGTGCGGTGGACGAAAAGTTTATAATCACGGTGTAACAACAAATAATGCAAACAACGTAAAGCGAAGTTAAGTTTAACTACATACATACATATACATAGTACTTGTACATATGTATGTATATAAAAAAGTTTTCACACACACATAGAAATGCAAAATTATTAGAAACGTTAAAATACAAAACGCACAAAGCTGCCGGAAATCAATGTGAAAAAATCGAATGCGAAATACTAAGGAATATAACTCAAATGCAGGATACATGAAAATACTGGTGATGTTATCACTGATTTCGAGGATTTCGCTCACGATATGGGTTGACTTACATATACTTATATTAATAAGTACTTGTATGTATGTGTGTCGTGAACTTGCAAAGAACGTACACATTGGTATTACACGGCGCGTGGGAGGCACAGCATACAAACAAAGGCCCCAAAAACTGGAACAGCAGTAGAAAAATATGTATAATTGGGTGTATATCAACATAACTTTTAGTTATTGCAAGTGCGACGACAATGCAACGGAAGTATTGTAATTGCAATTACGTTGTGACGTCTTAGACACAGAAAGTCGCCATTGGCTGAAGTTGGGGTTAACTATAAGAAGCTCATACCACTGCGTGTGTGAAGTTAAAACCATTTGGTACGTATACTATGTACTACCAAAGATTAATCACGTGAGGAGTGAAAATATTAAGTACATAATCCTCCCAATTTGACTGTGATAAAATGAAAAAGGGAAATGCGTAAAAAATTAAATTGATATAGAAACCTGGAAACTGTGTTGACGGAAGAAAAATGTTAAAAATTGAAAATCTAATATACAAATAATTAAGAATATTATAACTGCATAGCCAATATATCAAAGCTTTACAATTCAATTATAATCAGATAACACGCTATTTATGTATATCCAAATGGAGCGGACAAGTCGTGATAGACCGTGTGGGTGGCAATTGCGCTAAGCAAGGAATGAAGTGACATATAAATCATGTACTGAAAATCTCTGTCGTCACATGCTTATATCCATTAGTTGAAAGCTTTAGCAAAGAGGAGTAGATAAAAAGAAGCATGTAGCTACATTTAATCTAGTAGTTATAACAGTGCTTTAGATGTAAACAAAACACCAATTTATTATTAACTAAATTTTATAACTAACAACAAAACCAATAATTTAATTAATTTTTATATTTAATAAATTTAATATAAGTGCTAGCTTATAATTCTTTGAAATACTTGTTATGCCGCAATCCGCATAATACATATAAGTAAGATCCTAACATGCAGCAACAAAAATTAAATATGAAGATAATCATGTGACTGGTGTTTTTACTACGAAAACGTCGAATAACAAAAACATGATAGCAAAACAACAGACTGGAAGTTTATAATAAAAAGTAAACTAGAAACATATATAATATATGTAACTTTAACACTGTAACACGGTGTACCCAGTGTTTAATTATTGAAAAAACGAATCGCACTATAATAACCGACGACTTTACTTTGCAGTAGTTTATATAGCATATGCAAGTTATGTATATACATATAAAAATACAAAAATTTATACATATACATACTATACATATACCTATAATGTTAAAACAAAATACATCGGCATCAATGCAAACAGAAAATGCTTTAAAATGTCAAACTGTAGGTGAATAATGAAAAATATCTCTACAAATTGTTAAATTATGAACCTTGGTGTATAAAATCGATTTCCAAAAATTTGCTAAAAAAATAAACTAAAAAAATAATAATAACAACAAGTATAAAAAACAGTAAAAAGTAAAGCACAAATTGTAATTACACTAAAATAATTACAAAAAACAGAATTTATATACATACAAGCATTGTCTTTAATACGCAGTTAATATAAAATATTAGGGAATTTAATGTGTAGTTTGAAAATATTAAATCAATACGCGAAAATAGTAGAAATTTAAACAAAAACCATATACACACATATATAGTGTCGTGCATGCGAAATATACAAACTTGTTGAAAATATAGAAAATTATATACCAGTATAGGCACAAGTGTGTGTGACAACGATTTATGAATTTACACCTATGAATACATATAGGATAATTATATATTCTACGTTAACCAGTAAAAAAAAAAAATAATGTAATCGTATGAGAAAAAACGCGACTGGCCACGTATTTAAATAAATAATAGTATTGATTGTCACTATAACTTCGAAAAATTAAATAGCACCATATAAAATTTAATGTTAAATAGCAACAACGTAACTCGTGCAAATAAAAACAAATATACTCACATATAAAATTACATTTAAAAACTTCAGTTATTAATAACAATAAAACGAGAAACATTGCCAAACCACCGCCACTACTCCGATATTGTCGGGAAGGAAAGACATATGGACAATCAAACTCTAAATACAAAAACGTCATCACCTAACATATGGTCATACCGATTACATTTACCACATGACGTGCAGCAAATGCTCCCCAAAGCATACCCTTAGCTACTAAAATAATTTGTCAAGTACACCCACGCAAACACCAATACTTGGAAAAGAAACTCTTTTGCAACAAAAACAAGAAAACGTTAAAAGTGTATAAACAAAACTGAATTGTTTCGTTGTTCGATAAAAAAAAAGTGGATATGGGAGAGAGAAAAACGAAAGCGGCCACTGATAGCAATTGTGATTTTAATAAGACAGTGATAACTGTAAAAACACCAACCCTGTTTTTGTTCAACTAACTGTTAACCAACAGCTGAGTGACTAAACTACATTTCAGTCAACGTATTTGGAAATTGAACACGAAAGCACGGGAAAACTGAACTTTACAAAAGCTTTAAAACTCCCATTAGCTTTTATTTAACTAAGTATTTCCTACAGCACTTTCAAAACTGCACAAAAAGCTAATTGTATTGTTGTTACGAAAAAAAACCTGTTGCTCAAATTATAACTAGAAATTACCGTTGAGTATTAAATAGTATCCCACCAACACCCGTTAAAACAAGTCGTAGTAACTAGTTAATATGAAACACCAAAAATATTAAAAGAAAAAAATATTTAAATAAGTAATATTCGTGTAATGACTAACCCCAACACTGCTTTCCAAGAAACATCCTTTCACTACTACTACTTCGCTTTATATTTCGCGCACTACAAGGACTCGCTTGTTATAAATCGCGTGTGTGCCTAGTGTGTTAATTGAAAATGTCCCATATACCCGACGATGCCAGCAGTATGAGTGACGACGTTTTCGAAGATCCCGAGACCACGCAACGCCGCCTAGAGGAGACGGCACGCTATCGCGCCAGCTATGCAACCAGCGGCAGCGGTCTAGGTGGTGGTGGCAGTAGCGGTATCGGTTCCAGTCTTGGCGGCAGCAGTAGCAATGCTTACAGTACCGGCTATCCGGGTTATCGTCCACCGGTTAAGGCACTGCAAATGTATGCTCTTGAAGACGCCGTCTTTCATGGTGATGGTGATGACGATGAATTCGAAGATGGTTGGCGTTCCTATCGTTACGATGAAGTGGGCATGTACTGTCAACCACCGCAGCCGCCGTTCGATGACACGGTCAATCATAAGGTAATTTTTTCAAGTGAAACCACTTTTTATTAACAAATCGTATTGTTTATATATATATATATTGTTTAAGAAGTGAAATCGTCTAATTTTTTTTATTTCATATTTTTTAGACAATATTGCTTGGCGATTCCGGTGTTGGTAAAACATCATTCCTGGTAAAGTACAATACGGGCGAGTTTCGCTTAGGTTCCTTTTCTGCGACAGTCGGCATCGCTTTAACGGTAAATAAAAACATTTATTAACCATTGTTAGTTGCATACTTTTGTAACCGTGTGGTAAAAGAACAACAAATGAGGTACCATTGTTTTGGGGTACCGTAATACACTTGTACCATATGATCAAAGATTACCCAGACTGGCAAAACCAAAAAAGTAAATTTTCACGTTTTTTAATAGAAATCTTTATTATCGCCTTCAAAATATGCTCTTAATTTAATACAAGTGCATAATTCATCCTATTTTGCATACAATTGTTATAAGCCTCGGCTGGGATGACCTTCAGTCCCTTCAGCAAATTTTTTTTTTTTTTTTTAGTTTCGGCTGCTTTATAAACGCCCTTCACTAGATTATTAAACTGTTTCGGCTTCATATTCATAAACATACGTCTCAACACCAGTAATTACGCGTTTGATAAGAGGTTTCTCTCCTACGCTGTCCGATGCCGTTTTGGTACAAGTTTCGGGTCTTTTGGCACGAGTCTAGCATTGAGACGCATTATACCCAAAACATTAACCAAAATGTGTAGTCCCTACATAAATAATTTTGAGA